GAGAGAGAGAGAGAATAAAAATGAAAAAAAAAAGAAAAAAAGAGAATGGAAGGTAAATACGTAGTAGGGTGTTTTTCAACGCACGATCATCACGATTTTTTCCAATTTTCAAACGAGCAGGGTAAAGTTAAACGAAAGCACAAAAAGAAAAAAAAAATATATATATATATAATTCACACGGTTCACATTCGTTCGGAAGAGGTATTCTATTCTTTCTTCTTCTTTTTTTTTTTTTTTTTTTTCTTTCTCTTTATATATAGACAGCGTATAGCAGACAGATAGACAGACACATACACACACATACATACACACTCATTAAAGCGACTTTCATTGTATCGAGAGAAGAAGCTAGGCGCACCTCGTCGAAGCATGGTTTATAGTTGACTATAGTTGACTATTGCACGAACTTATTTATAACTCTATTTATATCCAAATTAACCGAGCATAATAATAAAAGAGTATCTGACAGTATCTCATCAATTTGATTCATTGGTATACACGCTGTATAAGTTCAACACTTTTTCTTTCTTTTCTTTATTATACGGAATTTCATCACTTCCCCCCTCCTTTTTAATTGCTCCTTGCTCTTTTAGATCGGTGCTATCTTATTTCCCCTCTGTTTTTCCCCAATCGAGCTCATTCACCCATCCATCGTAATAAATACAAACTGTGTAAAAGTAAAAAGTATGTTAAGTTAAACTAAAATTCCTTCCGATTTTGTAATTGTGTTATTGCACAGCGAATTAAAAAAAAAAAAAAAAAAAAACAAAAGGGAAAGAGCACAGGGACCGAGTGAAAAAAAAAGGACGAAAGAAAAAAAAAAGAACCGGGCCCGATCGTCTCCAAGAGCGGCCCACCCCCGACCGATCCACCCCCGGCTACCCTCCGAGCCAGGGCTCTAACTAACCGTTGGCTTGTGTGTGTGTTGCAGCAACCGAAACCCGGTGAGCCGCTCTACGCGCAAGTTAACTTGGAGAAGAAAAAGAAGCGGCAGTATGAGCTGGGGGTGGGCCAGGCGCAGGGTCAGGGGCCGGTGGTCGGCTCGGGGGTGGCGCCCAGTGTGCCCGCGGCCGGCCAATGGGTGGCCGACGGAGTGGGCGTCCCCGACGGCTCGG